GTCAGAGTTTAATTTATAGCTAAAACATTTTTTAGGAATTCTTCTGAAACATCTTTCTTTAGAATGTTTAAAAAAAAAAGTACATAATTTGAAGATCTTGTCTTGATAAATGGTATTTATCCGCACACCGCGCGTAATGTGTCATGAGGTCGTATTTTAAATGGTATTGTAGCAAATGCTTATATGGAGTAGGAACAAAAATTGCTTTCGTTCCTTCAGTACTTTCTCTTTTGGTCTCCCCTAAGGTGCCTTTTAATGAAACTAGCCTCCTTCCGAAAGAGAGGTATTGCTTTGGGGGAATTGCCACTTGAGTCTTAAGTACATCATATATATTAAATGACTTACTTAAGTGAATTTTTGGCTTGGTGAAACGTTCTGAAAGTCGTGAATTGTAAAAACGTCATAATTGCAGGAATATTATATAATTATAAATTTTACCGCCGCTTTTTTTACAAATTTGTAGAAAGAATATTTATCATTTTTTTTTCTAGAAAGAAACTACACCAAAGTTAAACCCGTTGGATTCCTTTGAAAAGCAGTTAATAATACAAAATGATGAGGTAACAATATCAATTTTATTATTAATTACACATATTTTAATTTGTATTTTACAATTTTTTATTATTAATTGCACATATTTTAATTTGTATTTGCAAAAGTTATTGTAATAATTATTATTACTCACATTATATTATATTATTTAGATCAAACACAATAAAATAATAATAATAAAAGTTTTACTTTTTTAGAATGCAATTGAAACTGACATCACGCGAAAAATATTTCCATTCAAGTAATAATAGCCCCTGGGTGACAATTTATACCAATTTTAGTATTTACCATATTATGATTTTTAAACGTAAAGGTCATCTCCACCCAATAAATCAGCAATCGTGTTTAGTGAGTTTTATATTTATTGAAATAATATAAAGTATACAGTAGATGCCTCCTTTTTGTGCACTTAGTTACATTTTTCTAGGTATTTAATATAATACTTATATTTTATACATACTTGTTTTTTCATTACATTTATTTCAAAATACGTAACGACGGTAAATGAGTATGCATCTATTTATTTATTTATCATTAAATCGAGTGGCACGGTTCAAATGGCACACCTTTTACAATGTCATCTACATTCACCGATCAAATAGTTGCCAAGCGTTCTAGATATTTATTTATTAAAAAAAATTCTAATGTAATCTAGTTAATTTTTATAAAAATATGTTATGTATATTTAGATTTATTTAATAATGTTGTTATAATAATATTGTTATAATAATGTATTATGAATGTTTAATATTTTCCACACACATAAATTGGTATATAATCTGCGAGTTTTTGTTTATATACGCGGATTGATAAGAATGTTGTTATAAAATAAAATAAGACATATCTCGGCTGATTTGCAGGCAAATAAACTAACATACTTAAGAGTGAGAGCCGGATGTGAACGGGACAAGGCCCCCGTCACAAAATGACCATTATCATCGTCTACGCATAAGCCCGACGCACGAGTTCCGGTCGAAAAATAAAATAATGTTTTAAAGTGTTTCTATTTTTCGACCAATAAAAGTGCTTCCCTCCTAATTATACTAGCGTCGTTTTACGAGGCTGTTAAGCCATAAAAAAACGCCATAAAAGGGTTCAAACGGCGAAGTACAAGGGCAGTTAAAAGGAGGCCAGGGAAGGGACCTGTCACGGTCAGGATGAGCGGTCGACAGCAGTCAGCAGCAGTCAGTAGGAGGAGCGCCACGCCAACCAGTGAGAACTACTATGAGAGATCAACCCAGACCGGGAGCCGGCTTATGAACTATACCACAAGGTAGGTGTCCCAAACCCACACGTTACTATTGAAATAAATCACGTAAATCTATTTCTGCTGTTGTCGTATTTCTTTCTTGCAACCATACGCTTGTCTATAACAATGTGTATCGAAAAGAAATACTGAATTTCCTATTAAAAATGCCGTAAAAACACAAAAACGGACCTAGCTGAGAGTGAGAACCCTTTATCTAATTTTAATGAAATTTAGCACTGCACTCGGCAGTGGTTCAAGGTACAATAAGCTTCTAAATTGATTGGGATATTATGTATCGTTTAAGCTGTATCTCGGCAATACGCATATATGAATACATAGAAGCTTAGAGTTTTTTAGTATTGGTAGATAATCTTTACGATTTGTTAACTAAAAGTTAGTTATTGTAAATATTTTTTTTTCAATTAAATCTTTGGCTTTCTTTGAAAACCCTCCTAATTATCATCACTCATCGTTAGTCACTGTTTATGCCCACGGCAGATTGCGAGCTAAAAACCTTTATTTCCCGCCATTTATTACGGTCTTGAGTAAGTTTATTTAGCGTCTCTCACGCATTCATTGATGAACCCAGAATTGTGCTATTGTTGCGGACCCGGCAGCGTGCAGTGCTGGTTTATTACTAAGTGGCCTTGTGCCAGACACCACACTAAACTACCGAGTCCACAAGCAATGTAAAAAAAAAAAAATAATGCGTGAATGAACAATGAGAGGAAAGGGGTCAATCAACAAGTGCATAAATTAATGAACATCAAAGAGATAGCCGGAATAAAATGACAAAGACGTCTGTTTGTAAAACATGTGTAACTTTAATTAGATGGAAACAAGTAGATCTGGAAAAAAGGTTCCGCGCCAAAATAGAAATGCAAGATGAACAAGGCGGGAAAAAGAGTTTTATAAGGTTCTGGAAAAAGGAACTCGTTAAACACGAGGTGTATGTTGCGCACAGATAGAAAGGAGTACTCACTGTGGATTTTTTTTTTGGCGTTGTAAGTGTGTGTGGTATTTTTGTGTTCAGGTTCATAGTTAGAAAGAATGTTCGGTCGTCTCAGAGTTTTTGGTGAGGCATTGAATTAGCTGCTGGAAATTTTACAGGATTGCTGTGGGCATCTAGCCAGGAGAAACGAAGAATGTTTGAAGTGAGTTTCATGGTCTTGTGGAGTTGTTTACGGCGAGCCCAGAGAGACGAAAAATGTTTGTTCGTTAGTAATATATCCCTGTCTGTATTTACTGTTGACTGACGAGGGATAAATGTAAGTCACCTGTTGAATACGAAGTTTTTGCTCACGACTGTGTCGTGTGTCTCTAACGTCTTCTGGTCGAAAACGGAGAAGGTCTGACCTGCGGGCAGCAAGTTTGTTCGTCAATAAGATATCCCTGTCTGTATTTACTGGTTCACTGACGAGGGGTAAGTTCTGCTTGCGACTGTGTCGCGTCTCGAACGATGGGTCTCAAACGTTTTCTGGTCGAAAACGGAGCAACTGGTTGACTTGCGGGTAACGTCAAGATGAGAAGAAATCTTGGTAAATAAGTGTGGGGTCAACATCGTTGAGATAAGATATTCCGGCCCGCATATGGGTTAAGGGCACGGAATAAATGAGTTGCCCGTCTAGTTAGGTCGAAAGTCGGGAGGCAACTGGCTTGCAAACGCTGGCCGTTTGAGACGCCGCGAAACGCGCGGGAAAAAAATTCAAAATCTGTTAGTCTGAGTTCATCAGTAGGAGCTAGCGAAGGTTACTGCTATGTCTAGCTGTGAGAGGAAGGAAAGGGTGCAAACCGCGCGCACACACGCACGAGTGTGAAAGGAAGGGAGGAAACTCGCGCGCGCGTAAAATATATAGATGGAATCAATGTGTTAATTCCATACTATCTCTCCGCTTATATTTTGGTTTTCCTCTACTTCTTTTTTCCAGTCACCATACTCTCAAACACAATTTAGCGAGTACTGCATGAAATCTTCTAATATGTTCAAATAGTTTCAAGGATTTTCTACAGACGGCATCGAAAAGTAAGGGGAAAAATGTTTATTTTATATCCGTATAAAATTGGGTTGGTTTTATCCTTTGAAGTAATGAGCATCATCAACCACTTGTTAACCAAAGAGGTGTTTACTTTCCACACTGCCAAAAACAAAAGGTTCAGAAGGAAACTCCAATCAATACTAGAACGATTGATAATTTGAGAATTCTGATTTCTTAAAAATATTTTTAAGAAAAAGAGCTTATATTTTTCAACCGACTAACACTGACTGTCCGGTCAATGAATGTCAAATGTTTGCTGTATGAAAACAGCTAATTTCACAATTACCATTAACTTGTTCCTTATTTAACTTCTAAAATAAACATTCAAATGTAATTTTATAGATAAATGTCTAGATAATAGATGTAGAAATCTGCTGAAGGTGAACTAGCAACCGAAAATGGCTCTGCAAACATGAGGGAGGCCAGTCAGTTTATCCACCGACTGGCGAGAAACCAGCCTACAAGGATTTTACCCAGTGACCCAGTTCGTCACGAGATACGTGTGTGCAGACGGAGAAAATATTTGCAGTGTTTCAGCAACAGATGAAAATACAAAATAAAAACTTCATATTTTAAAAGTTTTTCCATTTTTTTTTGGGTGGGGGGGGCTTGTTTTTTTTTTTTTTACTAAATCCAAAAGTTTTCCAAACCTCTATTGAATCAAAAACAGTCAAACACGTGGACTATCAGAAAATAATTTAATCTGAATCGAGTAAAATGAATACACGAAATTAGAAGTCGCTTACTTTTTAAGGTATGGAGGAAAAAGACAGTTACTTCGCTGGATGTGCAGGTGGCGCAATGCTTAGGGATTTGAAACGAGAAATCAGCGAGCCAAGTTCGAATTCAAGTGGAATTTATTGCAATTACCTACTTGGGAAAGGTATGAATCCATCTCTTCTCCCCCAAGCTATAGATTAAATAGCAAGGGCAGACTGGGCTTCCAGCCGGTTGGCAAATAGTCTAGCAGAAGGACAAATCTGAATTCAAAACCATATGTGACCCTGGCTAAGTACATATTTAAACTGTAATTAAATTATCTAATGTCTTCTTAATTTCTATTCTTTTATTGTTCTCTCTTCTTAATAGTATTTTTTTAAATATGCGTCTTAGTGGCTTTATTGCCTTGCTTGCGGTGAAATGATTTAAAAAATAATGATGGCTTACGGACATATCACGATGAAACACCGACTCTCGTACGATCACCGAAGTTAAGCAACATCAAGCTTGGTCAGTACCTAAATGGGTGACTGCTTGGGAATACCAGATTCTGTAAGCTTGAATGTGCAAGTGGATAACGACTCGGAATTGGAAATTGGAGAATCGAATTTCAATTCCTGTTGGGTTCGTTATATTCACTTACGAAAGGTATGAATCTACCTCTTCTACCCCCAATCTATGGATTAATTATCAAGACTTGCATCAGTAATATTTTCTGATTTTGTATAACCTACAAAAGGTTGATAAACTGTAAAAAGCAAAAGCAGCCAATCACTAAGATCATTACTCTAGTTTCCAAGTGATTATTTTCGTTTTTGTAACATCTTATTGAGAAAAGTACCCCTAGCGAAGAAAAGTACCACAAGCGAAGCCTATCCTATGTTCAATGTATTTATCTTCTATACTAATTTTTTATGAAGTCACGGTGGAATACTGGTTAGCGGATCTGATTGAGGAATCGGAAAGCCGCGTTTTAATTCCAGTTGAGTTAATTACATTCACTTGCGTGCTTGGGAAAGGAAAGAAGGAAAGGTATTAATCCATCTACCCATCCCCCCCGTTATGGGTAAAATAGCACGACAGACGGGATCTGCCTTTGGTAGAAGGAAACTCTGAATTCAATCCAGCCTGCTGCCTTGTAGGTCCTACTTTTTTAGGAGAGGAGGGAGGGGAGTAATGACTACAGCGACGCAAATTGCGCTCACTAAATTACTAAATTTGTTATAAATGATTGCTACATAGAATTATTTGCAGTATTTGAAATTTATTAATACCACATTCTGAATTTTTAAGTTTTGATGGATTCAAGCTAAGTATCCTCGCTGCTTTCATTACACTTCCAGATCGTCATTTCAGTTTTGGAAAATTTATATGAAGTCCTACCACTTGGTAGAGAATGCTGATGTCTGTTGTCGTTCAAGATCATACTTATACCAACTATGAACACCTATGTCATCAGCATAGCATCCCACCATCCACCACTAGCCTCTGAAAGCAAAAGCGCTCTATTAGTAGATTCGGGTGTGGTACAATATATATTTAAATATTCTAGATACCTTTCTTCACATATGTGTTTTTATACACTCAAAGAATAGCCTTAGAAAAGATTGATTGGCATTTCTTTCTAGATCCTCAAACAGTATTTTAAAGTCTTCCCCTAATTTTACGAGGTTCGTTCAAAAAGAATTCGATATTTTTTCCGCAAAAAATAATGGTCGATGCTTTTGGTTATCTTGCGTAAAAACGAACATCCGAGCGCTCCCTACATGTCTTTACTTTAAGTTTAACAGCCGGGAACTGAAGCGTTCAACCGACTCGAAAATTATCACGCATGCACAGTAAGGGTGCCGCCACTACCTACCCAAATGATTACGCTCACGCGGCATTAGTTTTGGCTGGAAAAAATAAAGTTTGATACTTTTTTTGAACGCCCCTTGTATATCTCTAGGTCACAGGATAATTTTTTTCTTGACATATATAAATGTTCCAAAAGTTTAATCAATCCCCTCCAGCTTTTATCGATCTCTTTTCAATCGCCAGGTTTTTATCGACCCCAACCTGGATAGTCTCATGAACTCCTAAAGGCAAATATCGACAACTTTAGGGACGTCTGTTATAAACTAGGTACTTCAGATACTTCTGCATCTGAAGGAAAAACAAGAACGTTGTTTTCTATCACTAGATTTGGATGTGCTATATTAGGCATCCTTTTATCTCGCGATGTAAAAGTAGCGCCCAATTTGGTCAAAATTCAGTCGTTTGGTGATTAAACTGGAGTGACCTCGCCAAAATGCTAACCTGAGCGATGATATATGGAGGTCGTGCGCTGCTCAGACTACATGGGTCCTCTCAGCCGTACCAACAAGGGAGACAAGGCATACACATTAGGGGATAGCTTAACTGCAGGGCTTCACTCCGGGTTTTCTGTCTGTATTTACTTCAATAGATTTTTCAGTGCATGAATACGACCGCAAAGCAACGGAGGTTTCAAATCAGGATTTTCCTTCCCATAGATGGACTGCTTTCCTGGACTGTCGAGCCCCATCTACCCGAAGCAGTTGATTATGAGGTGCCAGTTTCCGCCTTTGCCCATTATCCGGCTTGAAGCTGGATTTAGTTGTCAGAGTCTATTTCAGACACATGCCACGGAAACATTTTATAGACAGTGGAAGTTTATCCCCTCTATCACTCCCGGCTATGACAACCTTTGGAACATATATAATGTATGCATATAAACATTATATACATTACATCTTTCAGAATCTAAGAAAAAATTAACGGTATTATAAATATATAAAAAGTTATGTAAACGAATTTGATATGATATATATTTAAATATTGTAGACCCATTTCTTCACGTATGTACTTATACAAACCGAAAGTCTGAGAGAAGATTGAACAGTCATTTTATCTTTGTCGTACTCCTGATCGATATTTTTAGGCGAAAGAATTTTCTCGCTAAAAGTAGACATAATCTAATGGCTGCATGATAAGAACACAAGATAATCGGATTAAACAATTATGAAAAGCGTCAGTTTTAGGAGAAAATAAACATTTTACCTGTAAAGATAAAATTTTAAATTTTAATCTCTTTAGACAAAAAATGAAAATAAAATCCAAGATTTCCAGGAATGTAGAGAACGTTTTCTTTCTATGTCAAGAACAAAAGAAATTCTTTCGTTATGCAAGCAATTTAATTTTGATTGCTTGATATTTGCAACTTCATAAACAAAATAGTTCCAACGTACGGTTAAGATAAACATTTTTATGAACGGAGATGAATCTTAGGCAATTGCTTGTAAGCACAAAATATCCTTTAAGTTTTTTTTTTTTTTCTTCTTCTTCTTCTTCTTCTTCTTCTTCTTCTTCTTCTTCTTCTTCTTCTATGTGCCTTGTCCCTTCAAGACGTTGGCGAACATGTCCTGTCCCTTCTAGCGCTTAATAAATTCTGTCTTTCTGTCATCCCTCCTAAACCTTGTTCCGCCATCCATTTACTCAACCTCATTCTTCTTCTATGTGCGGTGTCTCTTCGGGATGTTGGCGATCATGGCTCTCCACAATTTCCTCTCCTTTGTAGCTCTTAATAAATATTTTCTGTTCTTTCTCCTAAACCTTGTTCCGCCATCCATTTACTCAAGCTCACTAAGTAGATTATGTGTTGTTTTTCTCCGTCCATCTTGCATTCTATCTGTCCTGTGAGTACCAATTTTTCCAAGTGATCTTTCCTCATTATGTGCTCTAGAAATTCCAACTGCCTCTTCAGTTGAATGTTAAGTAGAAGTTTCGTTTTTTGCTTCCATTTTCTCCAAAACTTTGCCGTTGCTCACATATTCCCTCTTTAGTTAAATTTGGCATTCAATTCAAGATATGGTTTATTCGCCCTTGCATGGAGTATTGCTGCCATATATGGTCTGGGTCACCTTCTGTTTACCTCGGAATTCTTGACAAGATCCAGAGACGGATATGTAATATAATTGGCCATGATCTGGCGTCTCGTCTACAGTCACTCTCTCACAGACGCGCCGTCGCCTCTCTCTGTCTTTTCTACAAATACTTCCATGTTAACTGCTCTGACGAGCTGCTTTCACTGGTTCCCAGACTCCATGAATTCAAGCGCCCTACGAGGCTGGCATCGCACTCCCACCCTTACACTATAGAAATTTTTAAATGTAGCCGTCTCTTGTACTCCAATAGCTTCATACCTCGCATCTTTCGTCTGTGAAACACCCTTCCCAATTACTGTTTCCCTGAAAGCTATAATCTCCAACTATTCAAATGTAATGTCAATCGACACCTCCAGTTACCTTGATCTACCTACTATCCCTCTCCTCGTCATTTCTTCTATCACTCCTATCTGCTCTCGCTCCAAATCTTCTGCAACCCCCTGCATCTTAGTGGCTTCACGCCTTGCTTGGGGCATAATGCTTAAAAAAAAAACTTGTAGGATTTGGAAGTTGGAGTTATTTAAATCAATTTTACTTGATTCTCACTAATATTATTAAGCACTATGCGCCCCAGGGATTGAACTCACATTTATCAACTACTTTTGATGATCGTCTCGAATAATTCAATCAACCTCTAGAGGCAAATATTGACAACTTTGGGGATTCCAGTTATAGAGTGTAGGCATTGCAGATCTTATATACAGGCTTATGGTAGAGGATTTTTAAATCAATATTGCAATTTTACCTGGGTTCGAACACCCTACAATTAATTGGAGTTATTAATAAACATGAACAGACTGAAAAAATAAACTTGGATATCGTTAGACGACATTTTCTATAGAACCGGATAAATATTTTTCTTGATGTTTCCACCATTTTATTTCCTTTTCCGTCTACCCACTTCAATAAGCCCTCCCCCGCCACGGTGCATTACCCTTAAATGAACCCCCCACTGTCGACGTGCACGCGAACAATTTCCCCCTTTTTTCTGCTGCTTTTTTTTTTTTTTTTCAGAGCCAAATCATCACCGTTCGGTAGATGACTCACCTGGTTGTACTCGGCTTTTCTCCACCTACACACTACATCGTCTACTGGTTTTACGCATTTTTTCTAAATTTCTTAACTACATTTGTCGACTTAGCCATAAATACCTTCTTGATTATTTATCTATGGTGTAAGATTTGGAGATTGTATTCAGAAAAAAATCATCAGCTCTGATGTTTGGGATTGAATTCCACAGATTCTAAATTTGGTAAATGTTCTCTGGTCAGCGCACTGTCTTAACTGGTAATTTGAACTAAATATTTTATTGTTTTTTCTTCGATTACTTTCTTTCATTTCTCTTGAAATCTGTCTTCGATTTCTCCTTTTAATTCTTTTTATTATTTTTTTTCTGTTATTTATTTTTACATTCCCTTATTTTTGTTTCATTTTTCATTATTTTGATTTCAGAACATCAATCTGAAAACTCGAATCAAAACTTAAATAGCCCAGAGAATTTCATATGATGACATGAATGGTGCCAAACCCGATCAGAAATATTTAAACTGTCAGAGATTTGGGGGCCCCGGGCAGTGCTTTGTAGCTCTCGCTGTCTTATCAAAACTTGCTT